CACATTGGTTGTCAACATTGTATCAGACAAAAGGGGAACATATCAAATATCAAAGCAAAGAATTGAGTTTTCATTTATGTATCATTACGGCTGAGAGACTACTTTTATATTTTGCAGGAACAAGTGGTGGCAACAATAGCAAAACCAGAACTATTATCATTGTTGTAGTATCAGTTGCAGCTTCCCTGATGTTAGCCATTTTCGCATTCGTTCTGTTTAGAAAGAGAACAAAACGAAAACCAGAGGAACAACATCAGAGTAAGCGCACTTCATGATATTTATCGAAATCCTTCACGTTTTCTTGATATTCAACTAAAATTTATCTGTCAATATCATCTGAAGCTGACGATATTAGCAACTTCATCGAATCTCTCAAATATTCCTTCACCACACTTAGAGAAGCCACAAATGATTTCTCGGATGTTAACAAGCTCGGTCAGGGTGGTTTTGGCACCGTTTACAAGGTAAGTAATTCGGTATTGCTAATGTGATAACGATTTAAAATAAAAACAAAACCAATAAATAAAGAACGAGTGTTAATTTTCTCATATGTACTATAGGGCGTACTTCCAAATGGCCAAGAAATAGCAGTGAAGAGATTGGCCGAGAACTCGGGACAAGGAGATGTGGAATTCAAGAACGAGGTCTTATTGTTAGCAAAACTACAACATAGGAATTTGGTTAGACTTTTGGGCTATTGCCTAGAAGGAACCGAGAAGCTTCTTGTGTACGAATTCGTGCAGAATGCGAGCTTGGATCAATTTATATTTGGTAATATGGTTATCACAATTTTTTTGTTAAAAGTTAATATTATTAGAGATTGACTTGGAATTCAAACTAATTTTCTACATGTAGACCCAGTCAAACGCTCATACTTAGATTGGGAAAAACGGTACAAGATCATACGGGGCATAGCAAGGGGAATCTTGTACTTGCATGAAGATTCTCAGCTTAGGATCATTCACCGTGATCTAAAACCCAACAATGTACTTTTAGATGGTTTGATGAACCCTAAAATCGCAGACTTTGGCATGGCGAGGCTATTTGGACAAGATGAAACTCAAGGAAATACAAGCAGGATTGCTGGAACATTGTAAGTACACCACTTATATATAGGACTAGTAACAACCATTTAAGAATAATCATTATTATTCTACTATCATTTGTTCAAAATTATAAATATATCAACTATTTACATAAATGCAGCGGATATATGGCTCCGGAATACGCAATGCACGGCCAGTTTTCAGTTAAGTCGGATGTCTTCAGCTTTGGTGTGCTCGTCTTGGAAATCATTAGTGGCGAGAAAAATAACTGCGTGCGGCGTGGGGAGAACATAGAACACCTCTTGAGCTTTGTAAGTATATATATTTAACAAAAAAGCTAAATTGCATTTTTAGTCTTGTTGGTTTAACGTCATAGCATTTTTCGTCCCGAAATTCTAATATTTCGCCTTCTGGTCATGTGATTTAATATTTTGCTGCAATTCCAGTCCTCAAATGACTGAAATTGCAACAAATTCCCAAATTTATGGATTTTTTTTTGGCAATTTAAGTTCAATTTAAATTTTTGTTGCAAATAATTTAAAATTTTGTTGCAATTTCAGTCATTTGAAGACTGAAATTGCAGCAAAATATTAAATAATAGGACCAAAATGCAAAAAGTTAGAATCTTTGGTCTAAAATTGCTGTGGTGTTAAACCAACATGACTAAAAATACATTTCTGTCTAACAAAATGACCATTATACAATATAAATCACACAAAATTCTTGTTATAGGCTTGGAAAAATTGGAAAGATAGTATAGCTGCAAATATTGTGGATCCTTGCCTGAGGTCTGGTTTGGGTTCGATAAGGGAGATTTTGAGATGCATTCATATTGGTTTGTTGTGTGTTCAAGAGAATCCGGCTGATAGACCAACAATGGCTTCTGTTGTACTAATGCTTAATAGCTTCTCATTAACTCTGGCGGCTCCTTCTGAGCCTGCATTCTATATGCCGAGTGACTATGGCTCAGATTCTTCACTCCTTCAGGAGCATCGTTTGAGGGAATCCGACTATAAAAATTCATCGAAAAGCAGCATACCATCTGATAAGTCTTCATCAAGAAATGATGCGTCGATCACGGACTTATATCCACGTTGACCTGTGAGAAGATTGCCAAAGTTTTATATGTGGGGGCTGTTGTTAACTTGTTATATTATGTTGTCTGAATGAATACTTGTCCATTGTTGAGTTCTTGCAATACACTATTCATGTCGTTTGTTTCCATTTTTTGTAGCAATATCATGTATATCATTTAGTATGTAAGTTCTATTTAGGCTAAGTTTTATTTTATTGGCTTTGTGTTTTATAATGTGGAACTCAGATTACTTTTTAGATAATTTTATCTATTTATTTATCAAGTTTGTTACTGTTCAAATAATTATATCCTTTGTTTACCAGTTGTGATTGAGCATTAAAAGTGTTTGGTTATTTGAACCTTGTGTTTCTTTGTTGGGACGAAATAATTTTATCCATTTGATCATGCCTTTTTTTTGGGACAAAATAAGAAGGTCAGATAGATTTCTCGCCCATTCTGTTCATAAAAATACGGCCCAAACAGTTTCGGGATATCCAAGCGGACTTATATCAACCAAGTAAACAACATTTATCCATATATATGGATAAAATTTGTAAGGAGTATAAGAATTTCTATTTATTGAGGAAGGATGAAATTAAATAGTAAATACACAACCAATAATACAAAAGACTACAATGGTATATTATTTAGGATTATTTAAAATGGCACATGAGTTTTTCACCCAAGTTGTCAAAAAAATAAAAAAAAAAAAAAAAATATATANAAAAAAAAAATATATATATATATATATATATTCAATCACATTTATAAAGCTTTTAGAGTGTGAAAATTAAAATTTTCAAGTAACGAGCATATTCGAGTATTAAACATTTAAACATTTTGAGACAATATTATGAGAAGAAGAAGACTTTGAATCAGTAGAATAATTGTGTATGGATTGTTGAAATGGTCAATAATGAGCAACTGCCTACTAATTTCTTCACGGGACCATCCTATTGTCCTTGCCTGTTCTGATTCCTTCAAAAATAAAAGAAGTGATCTGACAATTTTATTATTATAATCAAAATAATAATTAAACTATAATTGTTCTTGATACTAATATAATACACAATTATCTGAATAATGGTTAAATCTATATTATTAAATTATCAACATTTATATTATTCATCTTTAACTTATGTTTACAATTTAA